TTCTTTTACTTTTTTCTGACCACCGGAACAGATTATTTGGTTTTCAATGCATTCCTATTCGGTTTCCGAATTTTTCGCAATACGAAAAGTCTCGCAGAATGCATTAAATTCGTACACCAAGGTATGTCTGTACTTTCTAAGGCTAGCCATACATAGGCAAATGCTTCTCTAAAAACAACATGCAATAAGGCATATGCACCACACACGCCGTTACAGTTTATCTCCCTTTTATTCATAAATTACATAGCAACATAGTTAGTCTGGCTGAAAAAAGACAAAAGTCCATCAAGTTCAACCATTAAAAAAAAAAAAAGTTATAGTCCTATACCCACAGTTGATCCAGAGGAATGCAAAAAACCCCAGCAAAGCATGATACAATTTTCTCCTGCTAAGAAAGAAATTCCTTCCTGATCCCCTGAGAGGCAATATTCCCTGGATCAAATTTACCTATAAATGTTAGTATCCAGTTATATTCTGTGTATCTAAGAAATAATCCAGGCCTTTTTTGAAGCAATCCACTGAGCTGGCCAGAACCAACTCTTGAGGGAGTCTATTCCACATTTTCACAGCTCTCACTGCTGTGAAGAAACCTTTCCGTGTTTGGAGATTAAATTTCTTTTCCTCCAGACGTAAAGAGTGCCCCTTGTCCTCTGTGATGACCTCAGGGTGAATAGCTCTACACCGAGTTCACTATATGAACCACTGATGTATTTATTCATGTTGATCATATTCCCCCTTTAATCTCCTCTTCTCAAGACAGAATAAATTCAGTTCCTCTAATCTCTAATCCTCATAGCTGAGCTCCTCCACATCAGTTTGGTTGCCCTTCTCTGTACTTTCTCCAGTTCCCCAATGTTCTTTTTGTGATATTGGTGCACAAAACTTAACTGCATATTCCAGATGAGGTCTTACTAATGATTTGTACAGAGGTAAAATTATATCTCTCTCCTTCTGGAGTCCAAAACTCTTAATACAAGAGAAGATTTTGCTCGCTATAAATGAGGTTATATAGTTTGCTGAGAATTAGAACTGACCAGTAGGGAAGACGTTTTTAACCATTTTCTGACCAGCAGCAATGAAGACTTCACTGCTGCTATAGGTTCACAGCAGATACTGCAGTTTCAAAATTTTTTGTCCTGAAAATTTTTTTCTAAAACCATATTGTCCTTCATGAACTTTGAACCACGGCCAGTAAAAATTAAAAAAAATAAACGCAAGAACAATAAGTGCACCTAAATCACTTAAAATATTACTTACATTCACTGAAATCTAATGTTTGTATTGTAAAAATGAAAGTTAGGTATACACTGGACTGGCCTATTATCTGTTAGTAAACTGTCCTGCTACTGGACTATTTTACACTGTTTTAGTCTCTGCCGTATGTTCATTTTTGTGGTAAAACCCCTACTTATACAATGTAGTGAAATACAATATATAATATATATAGTATATAATATATACATTTGTTCATTGCTACATAGACTGTAGTTTAGGAGTTAAAAGATGCTTAGTTTCTGCTTAGTTTCCTATTCGCTGGGAATCTATTCTGTCAGTGACTGTCATTCCGTTTTTAATATTGCTTTTCAGAGGTAGTTTTATACCACTCCATAAGGCTCTATTAGGCTAGAGATGAGATGTTATCTTCTCTATTATAATGGGTTTCAATTCGGTCTACAACAAAATGGTGCTGGAAACAGACTGTTCCCTTCTCAATTGTGTGCTCTAATTTGGTCTTCTACAAAATGGCGCTGAGTTCTATATATAAGGCAGATGAACATTGGACTGTCCAATCAGGTCCCCTTGATAAAGTCACGTGATTGGGGATGAAATGCGTCGGGGAGGAGATTGCGGATGACGTTACAACGCAACGGAAGGTCAACGTTTATCACAGCAGAGGAATACATCGCTCCAGGACTCTGCAGATCGTGAGGCATTTTGCAAACTTGTTTAGGGCCCACAGTTGCACTTGTGTCACTAAAATTTCATGATCTTGAGATTGGTTGGAGCATATTCTTATGTGACTGATTGCAGCTGACTTGGAAAGCACAGTTTTCTTGGGTCTGTAGATCAGTGGATGCTTTTTATACTTTGGTGCGGTCTGTCACCTGTCACATGTGAGTGCATATGTGGAAGTCTTTGTGATAAATAAAGTTTTTAAAGGGTAAACACTATGTTAAGTTTTTAGTTCATGAGGATTACTACCGCTCAAAGGGGTTCTTTGGAGTGAATCATTTGGAGCTACTACTCATCAAGTTGATCTTCAGAGTCCAAATTTGGGACCAAAAGTGCGGTTAGACCAAACATTATATGATGTGAAGTCACAATGCTGGAGATGAGCAGATATCTGGTGGAGGAATTGTGCACACTGTTTTACAGCACCGGAGGTTACAGGAGGAAGGAGATTTGTTCAGAAGAAATTCATTGTGACTGTTTCATATATTCTATTTTTTTTGATAGTATTCACATATCTATGCACTTATATTTGATGTGTAGCGCTGCACAGTTATAGTTTTGCTTTTTTATCTAAAACTCCTACTTCTGGTCTTTGTCTGTTCTACATTTGCTCCTAGTCTTGACCATTAAAATTGTCTTGCTGCTGGCCAATTTTTTGCCAGCAGCTGCTGGCTAGCAGCTGGCCAATTAAGAGACATGTGGTCTCTTAGTGAGACAGGAACAGCCTCAGATAACCACTAAAGTGGGCTTATTACTTAAAGAACTAAAGAATATCTAAGGCCAACATTTCATATTCCTGGTATGTGCCTACTGCACCATGTACTTGTATGAAAGAGTATCCTGTTCTCTTTGTATTGCTTCATTTGTGCAAACTCCCTGGTATTCCTGCCGGTTCCTCTACTTTCCTGTTAAAATCTGACCACACTAGGCATGAGAGAACAGCGTGGTTAGTTCTCCAGCTATTGCAAACTTTTTAGTTGAAATAAAAGTGCTAAATATTGTGCTGAAGCTCTGAATTGCTATGAAACACCTCCCTCCCTTATAAGTGCATCAGTAACAAACTTAAATACATTATATGCGCATCCTCCTCAAAATAAATGCAATTAATGCGCAACAAACTATAGAACACCTTCCTCTACTTACATACCATATATTCCTATGTAAAAACTATATAATTGTTTGTGAAATCACAGTAGCTGATACTGCAAAAACATTTTCATATTATCCACCTGATGTGTAATGTACTATAAAACACCTCCCTCCACAGAAACACTACATGTGTTTCCATGTAAATTTATGCAATAATACATATTTGTGACATCCTCAATTTCAGTATACAAAACCTTACAAAAATGCTCTAATAGTACAACTGATGTGCAACGTACTATAAAACACCTCCCTCCACTAAAACACTACGTGTGTTCCTGTGCAGTCTATGCAATTATAAACCTTTGTGACATCCACAGTTTGTGACTTCTTGAACAAAGTGCTTATTGTGCAGTCCACTTAGGTTACTTTCACACTGAGGAGTTTGAGAAGTGTTTTTGCGTTTAAAAAAAGAGCCTGAAAAGCTCAAGAAAAATGCGGCACCGATTTCTAAAGTAATGCATGCACTACTTTTGTTGTGATTTGCATAGACATCTGTGTCAGATGTCTTGAAAATCGCAAGGAAATCAGCAGGTCACCTGATTTTAAGATCATGCAACTTCACTGTAAGTCACACAATTTCAAAATCAGCTTTGATGTGACCGGGTACAGTGAACTCGCACAATTTCAAAGTCAGGGGACATGGCGATTTCAGGTGCGATTTGCAAGACATCTGACACAGATGTCATCTGACAAATCGGTGTGGCTCTGACAAAGTCAGAACCACACTGATTTGACTGCTGTAATTGCGGACAGTAGTGTGCGACTTGGCATAAGATTTGCAAGTCGCATGGCATGCAAATCGCATGCCAAGTCGCAACCAATGTTACCGGGGTGTAAGGCTACTGTCACACTGATCCGCACCAAAAATGCCTCAAAAGCGCATAGGCGTTTTTACTGCGTTTTTTTTAAAGAACATGTGAATTAAAACTGTACCAAAAATGCTTCTCAGAGACATTTTTGAGGCATTTTCCATTGATTTCAATGGGAAGAGGCATTTTTGGGGCATTGGTTTTAACTCCCCAAACATGCCCCAAAGATGCTGCAAGCAGGGGTTTTTATACCGCACTGCAAGCGCAATGCCTCAGTGTGAAAACATACATAGATATACATTCACATGCATAGGGAAGCATTTTTTTTAAATGCTTGAAAAACTCCTCATTGTGAAAGTAGCCTAAAACTCCTGCTTGCAGCATCTTTGGGGCATGTTTAGGGAGTTAAAAAAAATGCCTCTTCCCATTTAAATCAATGGAAAACTCCTAAAAAGAGCCACAAAAATGCCTCTGAGAAGCGTTTTTGGTGCAGTTTTTAAGTCGTGTCCTTTAAAAATGCGCTCTTTAGAATAACTCAGTGCTGCATTCCTCTGTGTGCAACTCCTGCCCCCCCCCCCCCCGTATGAGTCCGCACTCACCAAAAACCAAGCACTTTTATTTAAGTATCAAGTAGCAGGTCTCCAGCTATCAGAATCTGGTGCAGCTGTGCATCGCAGCCAATCAGCTTCTAACTTCAGCTTGTTCAATTAAGCTTTGACAATAAAACCTGAAAGCTGATTGGTTTCTATGCAGAGCTGCTCCAGATTTTGCACTCTCCAGTTTTAGTAAATAATACCCAGTGTACTCTCCTCCAATGATCCAACTTCTGACACGTCACTCCCTTCCCCCCCAGCACAGCCTTTCTCTGGGAAGATCAGTGTACTGTTGCTGCCCCTCCCCCAGCTCTTATGCAGCTGAGAACTGAGGGAATGTGATCATTAATAAAAAGGGGGAAAAAAGTGTATATAATTTTTTTTTATATACTGTATATGTTTTGCCTTTCATTTCTATTTTAATCTGAATGGGTTGTTCTACAAGGTGGGGGTTTACAATCACTTTAAGCCAAGCAAATTGTAAAAGAAAAAATGGGATCTGCAGTCCAATCTAGCCTTGTGGAGTATGCTGTCACTGAGCTGTCTGTGAAAATCATACTGTTCGGTAACACAGGAAAATGGTAGTGTTCAGTAACCCAGGAAAATGGTAGTGTTCAGTAACACAGAAAAATGGTAATGCACACTGATAAGGCGGCACTAACTGGCACTGATAGGCGGCACTGACTGGCACTTATAGGTGGCACTGATTGGCAGCACTGATAGGTGGCACTGACTGGCACTGATGGGTGACACTGAAAGGCAGCTCAGATGGGCACTGATATGTGGCATTGATGTGCACTGGTAGGCACTGATATGTGGCATTGATGTGGCACTGATGGGCACTGGCAGGTGGCACTGATGAGCACTGACAGCTGGCACTGCTGGGGCTACACTGATCATCAGGGCACACTGACCAGTGTACATGTCCCCTCCGTGGAATGCCGATTATCAGCTCTCCTCTCCTCTCGAGCTGTCAGCGTGACAGCTCGTAAGAAGAGAAATGCCGATAACTGGCATTTCCCTGTTTACATGTGATCAGCTGTGATTGGGCACAGCTGATCACATGACTGAGCCGACATCTTCGGCTCTTTCCGTGGATCGGTGATCCGCTGTGTCCAAGGGACACAGCGCACCGCCGATCTCCACGCTGCGTGCTTCCTGAGCCGCGCACGCGCGGTGAGAATGGGAGGACGTAATATGACATCCTCCCAGAGCGAGAGAACCACGTTGTGCCCGTCATTGTACTATATTGCAGGTGGGAGGGTTAAAGTGTTACTGAACCCACAACAGTAAAATCATTCTGTAGATGCAGTAAAGCATGCTCGTTATACTCACTGTGGAACTGAGTGGTTAATCTTCCGCATTGTGTAAAAAGACTGCTTGATCTGTCTTCTCTGATCCTCCCCTTCTTCTACTGTTTCCAATCCATCTGCTGATAGAACAGAGCCTTGGGGGCAAGCTGCACATGCTCAGTTTTGTGTCTATTGCTAGAGACATTTTTTTTTGTTTGGGAGGGTGCATGTAATCTGCACAGAGAGAGTCAGGGGTTATGCAGCTTCAAAGGACAATCATGGGAGAATGAAAACCCCTCCTACAAGCTTTAACCAGTGCTCTGCTGAACACTGATAGAAGTCACAAGACTGCTCTAACGGCTGATGAGAAAAGGTATTTAGCAGTTTATATTTACTAAAAAAATTGCATTTCCATGTTCTTTGTACTGTGGGAGACCAGATATACTGAAAGCAGGGTCCTGGGTTTAGTAACACTTTAATTGTGCTCATTGGAAAAATATACATATACATTGAACAAATATACATCTCAGGAGCCTACAGGCAGAGAATTCTGAAGCCCCCCCCTCCCCCATTTACAGTATTGGTGGGTGATTTGTGTCGCGTATCACTGCGCCTGTATTTGATGCCACAGCAGGTAGCAGCTCAACACAAATGCATGATATATATATATATATATATATATATGCAAGTGAATTATAACACCGAACTGTTGCAACATAATGCACTTTATTAATATATACTGTATAATTTGATATAGAGCAATCATAGGTGTGCGCAGCCAATTGCATTAGGATGTGCACCCCAAACCAAAGCTTAAACACACCTGTGTGTGTATGTATATTTCCAGTAAAAAAAATCACAGTGCAGAATAGAAGAAATGGGGGTAAAATCTTCTGGAGTTTTTTTATCTGCCATTTGTAATTGTTTTACTTGTGTCAAACTTCTTATGCAGATTTGGGCATTTTCTGGCCACATAAACATCAATGGGAAAACCTGTAAATACTTGCATCAAGCATTTTCAAGCATTTTTCAGGCTTTTGTCAGGTGTATTTCAGGCATTTTTGAGCCTATAATAACTGGTTTCCTCCTTATAGTGCATATTATTGGCAAGGAAAAAAAAAGCCTGAAGCTTGAATACACATGAATATATAAATGCACATGCAAAAAAATGCTCAAAAATACTCAACTCCTGAAAATTGCTCTTCTCAGGCGTAAATGCAGCGTTATGCTTCAGTTCAAATGAAGCAAATATTTTCACCTCATCTTGGCCAATATGAATTTTTTGGGTATTGTACTAGAAAATACAACATATAACAAAAATAGTTAAGTAGACTAAATGATTCAATTTAGCGAGGACCCCTTAGCAATACACAGGTTTCTACTAAAAGATTTGAAGCAGCATACATGTAAAGGGATGTTAGTGAACTTCCCATTTTGGCCATTAGGTTGCTTCCTCCCTTAGAATATATATGGAGTAAGTCATAGCATGGGAGGGGTTTGGGTGGAGATTGCAAGGAAGTAGAAGCTCAGGGTCTGTTGTTGGCCACTATGGGGCTTGGTGGATAAAGATTCTAGTGTCTGGGGAATACCTGGAGAGACCCTGGCACCCTGAATAGGACTGAAACTGGGGAAGTGCTTATTGCAGTCAACCATCAGGGTGAGAAGATGAGTATTGAGCATTCTGGGCTCTGAAGTGATATTTGACCTAAGTGTGTGTTCTGGAATTGTATGCCCTGAATTGTAGGTGCTATAATGGTCTGATCTTAGTTGTCCACTTTGAAGTTGGAAAGTAAAGTATTGCAAACATATTGGCAGGGCCGGTGCTTCCATTGGGCAAACTAGGCGGCTGCCTAGGGTGCACTGCCACCCAGGGGCGCCTGGGAGCAGTTCAGGCTGGCATTCTTTCTGTGTGGGACGCTGTCACGTCGTGAATGATCCTTCAGCTGAGGGGAGGAAGGAAGGACAGAGGAAGAGGCCGGGTGTCTGTGGCCAGTGTAGCAGCTGAGCTGCTGTTCTTTCCAGTGTTCCTCTCAGACTCAGTCTCTTACTGCAATTTGGCTGACAGCTGCTGATCACTGTGGAGTTCCAGCCCTTCTCTTCCTATAGGGAAGGTAAATTCTAACTCTGATGTCTCTTGTCTGTGTGAGTGTGACCCATCTGGCCGGACATCCATCAAATGTGCAAAGTGTTGGTGAGTGATGACATCATCACAATCCCACAGCCTGATGATCTGGGCCTGCTGATCTGTGTCAGTGATGGTGGTGGTGTGTTGTGTTGGATCTGTCACTGTGTGGGATCGCTCAGTTCAGCTGCCTGCTGTCACAGCGTTCTATCTCCCCCCCATTGCCTGGGGAATTCCAGCCTGGGATTTGTCATCCTCCACTCACTGCAACTGTCACCCTGACACTGTCAGCCACAGATACAGTCCATCTGTGACACAGATTTTGTCTTTAATATTGGTGCTGGTGACATCTTATGGCACTTATTTTTGCAAATAAAAGAAATTTTAGCAGTTTCATGTTTTGTTGATTTAATATTTTCTACTGTTTAAATTTTTTTTATCAGGGTGGGGGGGGGGTGGGGGGTGTAAGTAGCTGATCTTGCCTAGGGCACAAAATAGTCTAGCACCGGTTCTGTATATTGGACCTCTATTGTTATTTGTGGCTTATCCGAGGAACGATTAACTGGTTCATTTGTGAAATATGCAAGGCATAGTGTGGAACACGGAACTGTGCTAATAGAGGTTCATGTAATGGCTCCCTTTGGGAGCGGGGACATGCACTAACATGAGAGAAGAGCAATGTTACTGGTACCCGGAAAGGAAATGTTATGCACATGCATGGATGGCTCTGCCTAAGTACATTTGTACACATATGTTCAGGTCAAACGTGTGGGGAACAGGGGGCGGATTGCCCATTCGAACTCTCGGGCACTGCCCGAGGACTCGGGATCAGTAGGGGGCCCATGAAATGCCCCTGGTACCTTTTTATAGGCTTGTGGTGTGGGTAAGGACATAGGGGCCCCATGATCCCCTATTGCCCGGGGGCCCCATGAGTTGTCAGTCCGCCCCTGGTGGGGAATGACAAACTATGTACAAAACTTTATTGCTGTTTCCCATGTCAGAAATACCTGTAAAAGTTCATAACAAGCACCTAAAGATTGCATTGTTTGCAAACAAAAGATTCAGCTGTTTGGGCGCAGTGCAATTCAAATGGACTTCCTTTCAACTAAAAGTACCAGAGATGGCAGTTTCCCAATCTGGTCATTTTTTGCAATTAACTTTAACTAGGTAGTTTATAAAACCTTATGAGATAAGCAGATTCTGATGCCATCATCCATCTACACACCTCTCCCCTCACTACTAATATATACCAGGAATGTTTTACTGAGCAGATGACTGTAAATCATGCAGCCAATAAATATTGTGTCTGAAGGCTGATGGGATAATTTATGCAAGTCTGCCTATCGTAATAAGTGAATGGAAAATGTCTGCTTGCAAAATTTTTGACAGAATTCCTTGTCTTTTTCCTCAAGTGTAAGAAATCTGATGGAGGAAGCCCCATCATAGGTCATTACTCCACAATGCAGGGGTTTTCTCTTTTTACTAAAAATAGGTTTCTCTAGATTTTGCACAAATAAAATTAGCTTCAATGACTTGATAGCACTATCATAAAAAAAAAAAATACATGGCTATATATACAGTCAATTCCCAGATTTTCGTTTTTACTCTGCTTTGAGAACCATGAAATAAATTATATATTATGTAAAAAGGAGTCGTATAATACTGGAATATTGTTAAGTTATACAAACCGACTAATTGCTTAATTCCCTTTTAAAACAGCAGTTTAGAAGTATTACAGATAGACAAGACAGAACAACCTAATAGGATGCAGTAACTGTTTGGCTAATAATTTTTCTCCTCATTCAGTTGACTTTTTTAAATTGACTTTTGTCAAGACTGGTGGTGCTTGCAGGGCCACCTAAATTTGAGTCATCTATGGCCAACTTAAGGAAAGAGAGTAGCCAATAGTATATAAATGTTTCCACAGGAAAAGGGGTCTGCAAGCTACCCAATAAATTATAGTACATGTTGTTTCCTAAACATAGCCTGAATGTGCCATCAAAGTGTTTTGAGGAGGAGAAAAGCAGCAGGTTGTCTGAAGAACACCTACTGGGTCCTAATTGGTATCCACTGTTGTTAATGGTTTCCTGTGGCTTACTGTTTACCTTCATTTGTTCCAGGCTTTGTTTCTCAGCTACTGACTAGTCTATTTGTTTTTAGCTAGTGGGGAATCATAGAACATTTGACTCCTAACCCAATACTCTCAGTTATAGCTAGTGTTAAAAATAGCCAATTATTAAAGTTTGTGATGCTAAAAAAAATCTATATTTATCTTTTTAAAGCATTTTTAATATGCTGTTATATGCAGTGGAAAAAAACACCTAATGCCCTGAAAATAATTATTTTTATAAATATTTCTCCAAAAGGACAACACGTCCAACATATTTTTAGATAGTTTTTTTCACTAATAGTTTACAAGGTAATTCTTTAACTCTGCAAAGTGACACAGTACCAGTGCTTGATTTAACTCTGTGGAAGCCCCTAGGCAGTCGAAACTTTGGCGGCCCCCATCACATATTTCTGGAGGTTTTTAGTATGATAACATTGAACTAAATAGTGTGCAGGATGGCTGCTAGCTGGAGATGACCATCACTTACTGTGCATTAAAGGTACGTAGGTTGCACCAAAATGTTTTACAAGCTGATAACTGAAAGAAGATGAGCTTTTAAG